ATACGACAATTTGATGGCTTATTAATAATATTACATATTTAAATATTCAATTTTTGCTCGATTAACTTAATAATTTGGACATAAAATATTCTGAGATTCAATTAGATTTTAAGCAATATAAATTGAATTGAACAATGCTTGAAAGCCTTAACTCGCGAGGTGACACTACTGCAAAGTTTCTATTAATAATATGTATTACAACATTCCATCAATCAAAAAAATTCTTTTAACTTAATTTATTCGAGAATCTTGTTGGTAAAGAAAATCAAAAGCTTTATTACTTTTTCAATAGCTGTCAATATTCTAAAAAAATTAACAGTATAGACCTTTTTTTCAGTTTATATGTGTGAATAAATCATCAACAGGATATTTTCACCTTTTTTTACAAAAAGAAAACATAAGGATTTTAGTAGCACATAGATATTTCCATATTTCAATTTTGTAGATCTTCTTGTCAGTTTTTGTTATTTTGCAATAGGTAAAAAAAATTTTTTTTTCTGTTTAGTTCACCTGATGTTACAGCAGTCAACAAAATGTTGATTATTGCGTATTGAATGCTATATTAATGAGACTGAAAGGACCGGTACCAGGAATGCTGAATTCTAGGAAAATTTAAAGTATTTTAAATATTTAACAACATTATTTTGATAGAATTACGGAAATTGTATTGAATTTTAGGAGATTAAATTGAAATCAGTAAATTAAATATGCTAATTTGTTTTATATAATACAATTTGTATGAGATACATTGTATGTCAAACATTTTATATAGTTTGATTGGAAGTACAAAATTTAATTTAATATGCAAATGTGCTTAGATTACCTTATTTATGTAGCAATATAATTGATGCCAATTTATTTTTTATTAAGTTATTAGGCAATTTTATTCATCAACTATTTATTTTTAAATGGATGAATCTTAGCCATTTTGCTGTTAATTAGTTGCCTTTACAATAAATTAAAATTTATTTATTAATTAAAAATTTTGTTTGTTAAAATATAAGCTATTGAAAAAATGTGTGAGAAAAATATGAATTTTCTTTGTAAGTTTGCCATTTTTTCAGGTCTACTCTTTTACCACCCATTCTTAATAATTATGTTATGTATTGTATGATAAGAATTGTGTTATTTATCGTGACATGCATTTAAAAATGTCCTTTAAAATAAATTTTTTTTTTATAGTTCATTCTCGAGATTAAGCCAATTAATCCAATTTAAATATCATTCACACAATAAAACGGTTTAATATGTTCGAAGTTGTGTAAACTGGTTCGAAGTGGTGTATGATAGCAACAAAAAGTTGCTATGGAAAATTATTTAAAATAAATTGTCTTCGGAAATAAAAATTACAAACTATAGAATTTTTTAATAAGATAAGATTTTAATGTAATATACAAAGTTTACTGTTATGCAACTTGCATGAAAGAAAGAGGAAATGACACAAATCTGTTTTTGCATTCAGCAGCAACTTGATTTTATACATACAAAGTTCAAAATTAATTACGAATAAAGTTTTTACTCTTGCACTTTTTGCAAAGGTAATTCAATTACAAAATGGAGGCGAATATCGCTCGTAATTTTAATTTTTAAAAGAAGAACTTTTTGTTTTCAGTTTTGTGAAGTGAAATTGTGTGTACGGGAGTAAGCGATATTAATTTGAATAGCTTCAAGCTTCACGAGTGCCATTAAAAAAATAAATTAATTAAAAGAAAAAATTAAGTTTTGCAGGGTGATTAAATTGCAATAGTTTACGAGTTGACTGTTATAATGAGTGTGTTTAAGGGTCATTTAAAAATATTTTGATTACATTATGCAAAATTACGAAAAATCAACGTTCAGGTTATAAAGAAAATTAAAATGAAATTTCTAATTCTTTAATTTAAAAGTGAATTTTCAAGTCGTCTCAAAAAAAAAGGGTGTCAAAATTTTTTGGAGACCATTAATTTTTAATTTGAAAATTATCATTAATTTTCATAAATCTTTCCCAATCCAAAAATATTTTAAATCCCTTTGGAATTCCAAAAGGTTCAGATGAATTTCAAATGTAAGATATTTTCTAGATAAAACCATTAAGGAAAAATAAATCTTCTTGTAGCACACTTTATGCCTTTTTTTAAGTTACTAAAAAAAAAAATTATGATTTTAATATGAAAGGCATTGTATCCAAAAAAATTTATTCAAAACACACAACTTTGTCAACCCTTTTCACACTTTCACAATTTTTATTTTCTGATTTTTATCATTATGTGATAATTTTTATACCCTGCACTTCGTGAAGGGTATATTAACTTTGGTATGGAGTTTGTAACCACTTGAAGGAGTCATCTGCGGTATGGACATATATATATATTCTTGCTCAGCGTAAAATTCTGAGTCGATTTAGACATGTCCGTCTGTCCGTCCGTCCGTCCGTCCGTCCGTCCGTCCGTCCGTCCGTCCGATCGCACGATAACTCAAAAACGAATAATGCAATCGACACCAAACTTTCACAAGTTTTTTCTTTTGTGCCAAGGACGAGCCCTATTGTTATTGGACTAATTCGGACAACGGGTTCGGGTAGCTGCCATACAACTCAAAGAGTTTATTTTAAATATTTCAAAAACTAATAAAGGTATAAATATAAAATTTTGTATACATGTGTCCAATTATATTCTGCACATGCTCTAAAAATTATAATGGGATGGCTGCACCGGTTCGGGTGGCTGCCATTCAACTCCTACAGCAAATTTTTTATATTCGGCAAAATAATAAAGTCAGATTCATGAAACTTGGCAGTCATGTGTCCAATTATAGGTCAAATATATTTCTGAAGTTTTAGAGGAATCGCTTGACAGGTTCGGGTACCTGCCATACAACTCCAGAAGCTAATTTTAAATATTTGGAAAAATAATAAAGTCAGATTCGTGAAACTTGGCAATCATGTGTCCAATTATGGCTCAAATATATTTCTGAAGTTTTGGTGGAATTGCTCGACAGGTTCGAGTAGCTCCCATACAAGTCTAAAAGCTTATTTTAAATATTTGGAAAAATAATAAAGTCAAATTCATGAGACTTGGTAGTCGTGTGTCCAATTATAGGTCCGACATATTTCTAAAGTTTTGGTGCGATTGCTTGACAGGTTCGAGTAGCTCCCATGCAAGTCTAAAAGCTTATTCTTAATATTTGGAAAAATAATAAAGTCAGATTCATGAAACTTGGCAGTTGTGTGTCCGATTATAGATCAGATATATTTGTGAAGTTTTGATGGAATTGCTTGACAGGTTCAGGTACTTCCCATACAACTCCTAAAGCTTATTTTACATATTTGGAAAAATAATAAAGTCAGATTCATGAAACTTGGCAGTTGTATGTTGAGTAATAGGTCACATATATTTCTGAAGTTTTGGTGGAATTGCTTAACAGGTTCGAGTAGATCCCATACAAGTCTAAAAGCTTATTCTTAATATTTGGGAAAATAATAAAGTCAGATTCATGAAACTTGGCAGTTGTGTGTCCAATTATGGCTCAAATATATTTCTGAAGTTTTGGTGGAATTGCTCGACAGGTTCGAGTAGCTCCCATACAAGTCTAAAAGCTTATTTTAAATATTTGGAAAAATAATAAAGTCAAATTCATGAGACTTGGCAGTCGTGTGTCCAATTATAGGTCCGACATATTTCTAAAGTTTTGGTGCGATTGCTTGACAGGTTCGAGTAGCTCCCATGCAAGTCTAAAAGCTTATTCTTAATATTTGGAAAAATAATAAAGTCAGATTCATGAAACTTGGCAGTTGTGTGTCCGATTATAGATCAGATATATTTGTGAAGTTTTGATGGAATTGCTTGACAGGTTCAGGTACTTCCCATACAACTCCTAAAGCTTATTTTACATATTTGGAAAAATAATAAAGTCAGATTCATGAAACTTGGCAGTTGTATGTTGAGTAATAGGTCACATATATTTCTGAAGTTTTGGTGGAATTGCTTAACAGGTTCGAGTAGATCCCATACAAGTCTAAAAGCTTATTCTTAATATTTGGAAAAATAATAAAGTCAGATTCATGAAACTTGGCAGTTGTGTGTCCAATTATACATCAGATATATTTGTGAAGTTTTGGTGGAATTGCTTGGCAGGTTCAGGTACTTACCATACAACTCCAAAAGCTAATTTTAAATATTTGGAAAAATTATAAGGTCAGATTCATGAAACTTGGCAGTCGGATGTCCAATTATAGGTCAGACATGTCCGTGAAGTTTCTATAGAATGATTTTAGAGATTCAAGTAATTGCTACACAATAGCGAAAGGTGCAGGGTATAATTCAATCGGTTTATACCGACTGAAACGTTTTTACTTGTTATAATATAAAATTATGCAAATGTGTTAGTGTAGTAGGAACGTGTAACATTGTTATAAAAAGATCATAATTTTTTCTTTTGATATATTGGTCATAATTATTAAGAAATCCTTTCTCTGACATCAAATTAACTAAACAATGAAAGTGTACTATTAAGAAACCTTTGGTTATTATACGATATTAAAAATTAAAAATGGCCCAAAAAGTGTGATAAAATCTAGTTGACAAAATTTTGATAAATTATTTTTGTTAAGGTACGAAGAATTCTAAGAATTTAATAATTTTAATTGTAAGCAGAAAGACCTAATCAGTGATAAAATAATTTTTAGTTAATAACTTATTAAAGAACTCTCAGAAGATTTTAGGAAGAAGGTTTAGTGAGTATATGGATAACTATTGAAACAAAAAGACACTTCATCATCTTAACACTAAAGTCAACAATACACCGATCTTAGAAGCTACAACTCTGCCGATTTTAAATGTTTAATATGTTAATGAAATTGTCAAAAATACATGATTGACATCAAACATAGTTAATCCGATTTATTCAAAAAAAAAAATAAAGTCAATTTTGATATCGCATAGAATCGACCTTTTAAAAAATGATGTGGGCATTACAAAAGAAAAAAAATCAAAATGTAAAATATGATAAAATACACAAAAAATTTATTCTTCACCGCCTTCTTCTTCTTCATCAAATTCACCTTCTTCATCAGCAGTTGCTTCTTGATATTGTTGATATTCAGAAATTAAATCATTCACATTACTTTCAGCTTCAGTAAATTCCATTTCATCCATACCTTCACCAGTATACCAATGAAGAAATGCTTTTCTTCTAAACATTGCTGTAAATTGTTCAGAAATTCTTTTAAAAATTTCTTGAATTGCTGTTGAATTACCAATAAATGTTGCTGACATTTTTAAACCTCTTGGCGGAATATCACATACAGCTGTTTTACAATTATTTGGAATCCATTCAACAAAATAACTACTATTTTTATTTTGTATATTTAACATTTGTTCATCAACTTCTTTCATTGACATTCTACCTCGAAATATAGCAGCAACTGTTAAATATCTTCCATGTCTTGGATCACAAGCAGCCATCATATTTTTTGCATCGAACATTTGCTGTGTTAATTCTGGAACAGTAAGAGCTCTATATTGTTGAGAGCCTCTAGATGTTAATGGTGCAAATCCAGTTATAAAGAAATGTAAACGTGGAAATGGTACCATATTTACTGCTAATTTTCTTAAATCAGCATTTAATTGACCCGGGAATCTAAGACATGTAGTTACACCAGACATTGTAGCTGATACTAAATGATTTAAATCACCATATGTTGGTGTAGTTAATTTTAATGTTCGAAAACAGATATCATACAAAGCTTCATTATCAATACAAAATGATTCATCTGTATTTTCTACCAATTGATGTACACTTAATGTTGCATTGTATGGTTCAACAACTGTATCAGATACTTTTGGTGATGGTACTACAGAAAATGTATTCATAATTCGATCAGGATATTCTTCACGAATTTTCGAAATTAAGAGTGTACCCATACCTGATCCAGTACCACCACCAAGAGAATGTGTTAATTGAAAACCTTGTAAACAATCACATCCTTCAGATTCTTTTCGGACAACATCTAATACTGAATCAACTAATTCAGCACCTTCGGTGTAATGTCCTTTAGCCCAATTATTCCCGGCTCCAGATTGACCAAATACAAAATTATCTGGCCTAAATATTTGTCCGAATGCACCAGCTCTTACGGCATCCATTGTACCCGGTTCTAAATCAACTAATACGGCTCTTGGAACATATTTACCACCGGTAGCTTCATTATAATAAACATTTATTCGTTCAAGTTGTAAATCACTATCACCGTAATATGTTCCGGAAGCATCTATACAATGTTCATCAGATATTACTTCCCAAAATTTAGCACCAATTTGGTTACCACATTGACCAGCTTGTATATGTACTATTTCTCTCATCTTGCTCGATACCTTCTTGGTATTTCTTCGTTTTTATGACGTTCTAATTATTGGAGTATTCTGGCAAATCAAAAAAACTGTTTTTAATTAATAATTAATGGAATTTTCCTGCAGCTTCAAATTAAGAAAATTTTTTCACAAATGAAATTTTAAAATTGAATAATGTAAAATAATTTTTGTTTTTATTAAAAAATAAAAAACAACTTGATTTAAAAATTTTCAATGTAAAATATTTAAAAATTTTTTTCCAATTCAGAAACTGAATTTTTAATTGGTGTAATGTTATGGAATATGTAGGGTGTAATGTCGTAGCCTGACAGCACTTCATTGTATGTTAAGATACCTTTTAACCAGATTTTAACAGAAACCATCGATTTCCGAATAATTAACTCCCGCTCGTAACTATGGTAATGTTGCGCGCTTTAAACTTTGTGTGATAACAATTATTATAAACGGAACAGCTCAAAGGTTTCATATTTATCATGGTCTTGTATGTGGAAACATCCCTTTTCTTAAAATGAAAACTAATCACTTTCAATTAAAAACCAAATAATTATCATCTTACCCTAATAACTTCCATGGTTTACGTAGGTGTGTCTAAAGAAAATAAAAATATTTTTATTGTCTCCTTTTAACGATTGTAGTTCTTTTAAGTTCTTTTCAAGTTCCTTTCCTAGTAGCTCATCTGTATTTTACTTAAGTGTTATTGAAGTCCAAGGGTCTAATGTATATATAACGATAATGCACTTTAATAGCTTACAACAGTTTAAAGATTTCAATTTTATAGTCAAAAATATTTGAATGTTAAAATTATGATCTCCCAGTCTCGTATAAATTTTAAGGATCACAACGTAAAGTGGTTTTAATAAAAAGCAATAAAGTTGGTAAAAAAGAAGACAAACGAACAAAAAATTCAAAAATATTTTGTAAAACGCTTTAGCATATATGAGGAACGTTTTCATAACAATCAACACGGGACTTATGCAATAAATTTTTGTTTTTTTTTTAGTTTTTATAACCATGGGAATAAAAGAGAAAACCTTATAAATTTTATGATTACTCCACTGAGATCATCCAAAGTATATAAGGATTTTTTAGTGGGTTTATGAATTTTTAATTTTTTTTTCTTTTTTTGGCTCTTTTCCCCAAGTAACCTACATTGGCATTCATATACATATAAAGAGGTACATAATTAATTATATATACCACATATAGCTTCACCCATAGAAACAAAAAAAAATGTTATTTTTGATATTTTATAGTTTACGATATTCTCAGAATTTTCTTTTTATACAAGGTATCTGAGACCGGGGTGGCATTCCCGAAGCTGGGTGATAGAGTGCGTCTGGATGAAGAAAAAATAATATTGAATATTGTACTTCTTTGGTCAATTTCCTGAGTTACAAAGCCTCTAAGTGGTTCTTTTTGAAAAGCATCCAAATTTTTATATTTGCCTTTTGAACTCTGGAAGTGGAATAGATGGCCAGGAACCACCGCAATTCGACTTATTAACGGCTTTTTCAATTGATGAAATTTAAACACTCACATATTGAAAAGTTTCTCTATTTTATTTTAACTGTTATTTACTAATAGTTTCACGTTATTTCACTAATAGTTACACGTGAATCTAGAGCAAATAGTTTGACCTAGTGAATCTTTGATATCAAAGATTGAGCCATTAAAAGTCACATGTCTATGAATCGGCGGTATCACCACGAGCCATTCTGCCTTATGTCTAGCTTATTGTAATAGCGTCGACCTAACGTAGCTTAACGTAACATATCTACAAAACGAAAACCTGAGGTTAAATCAGTGTTTCGTAAATATCATTCAGACTCGGATACCACCTTAAGCGTGTACACCTTATATTCAACCCTTTTACTTTATGAATGCAAAATAAAACGTTTAAATCTAAAATGGACCACACACATCCTTCTTTTTTCTTCATATTTTCAGTTTCATTCTCTCAGGATATTCTGTTGAAATTTAGTTGTGAATAATATTAGATTGTCGATTCAAAAATTTACTGATTGGTTTAGAAAAAAAAAGGATTCTTTTTAGCATTAAAAGTGAGGTTTTGAATTCTTTCTTCTCCGACATCCATTGAATACCGTGTACATATCCGGACATACCATATAATCTATACCCTTACAATAGCTTATTTAACTCTATAGCATTTTTTTATGAAGTTTTTTCATTAACCGAATTAAATTGAATTTGAAATTTCAGTTGGAGATGATGATGATGAAAAATTAGAATAGAATGTGATATTTCATGATTTTTAAAAGGGGAAAATCGGGATGAAACTATAAAAATTTTGTTATGCACCATATAAAGTTTAAGGGTGAATTATAATACTATGAACCAGCAATAACCATTTAAGTTTTGGAATTTAAAATAGAATTTTTAGAATTTCGCTTTAATACATGCTACACGAATACATCCATTTTGTATTTACTTTCATACTTAAGTATGTATAATTTATAGTAGGTGATAGATGCTTTCGGTGATAACCAAAATTTAACCCAAATTGTGATTTTATAGATTTTAATACTAATTTTTGTTGAAAATATTCTCTTGAACTTAAAATTTATTATAAAAGAATATAAAAATTTCTATTTCTATGGTTTCAGTATTAGATACGAGGGTAGTATCATACAAGACTATTATGTAATAACAAATTTATATATAGATTTATGTTATTTATATAATAGGGAGGTTCTTGGATACTCTCATTTAATATAATTTTATTCAATTTAAGTTCAATGTTTTCAATTGGAATTGTTGGACCTTCAATAATAATAAAATTTATAATAAGAGTTAAAATTCGGAATGCACAATGATTACAGGAATTTGGTCCAGTGCAATATTGATGAACGATTTTGAGTCTTGAATAAAGATTAGGTAATAATAATTGAAAGAGAAATAGTTTCAATTACCTGCTCATTATTATCAATGCCAGGAACTCCCCATTATTGAAATTGTTATATATGTAAGAACAAAATGAACGAAACAAATGAACGAGATATATTTAAATATCTCACCTTGAAAAATAATACCTGATAGTGAGGAAGTCTATCTCAATGATTCATCAAATATTTGGCATACTTTCAAAACGCATTAAGCTTATTTGGTCTGACGTGATCCATTTCAGTTTATAGTGCTTTTTTCATATTGAGCACAGAAACAATCGGATTGCAGTCGATCCCGGTAGGACTTGACGTTCTGCTTGAAGGGGAGTCAAATCTGCGCTATAGGAAATTGTTCCTTCCATCTCGTTCAACGAAGTTTTCTTCAGAGATGTTGGTGATATCAGTGACTTGCTATAACTGTTATAGCAAGTCACTACATTGGCTTTCTCAGTGTTGGGTACCGCACATTCAATTTCTTGAGGGATATCTCCGGTTATTTATTTGATGCTCCTTTGATCATCTGTTGTCAGTAATCTACCGCGTTTTCTTTATTAAAAATTTTTATTTTAAATCTTTGTTCCTTTAAATTTAGGTAATTCGAATTAATTGTTATAAATGATAAACTACTAAATTACTTATTTGAAATTTAATTTAAATAAATTAAAAAAAATTCTTGTGAATTAGAATTTTAGATTATTTCACGGTTTATTGCAAAACTTTTAGTATTTAAAAAACGAAAAATGCACAAAATAATGTCCGCGTACAACTTTTAGCAATGTTTTGTAATTTTCAAATATTAATCATAAGTTTAACAAAAAGTTTCTCGAGCAAAAAATCTTCTATTTTGTGTTTGTTAACTTCCATTATGGTTGTTTTTCATTTATAATAATTTGTGAAAGTTCTTTTACTTTAAATCACTTTTAATTTTCTTGTCTTCCTTAATTTAAATTTTAGATCTCCTTCTATTTTAAGACTTTCAGAGCTTCAAGAGAAAAGCTTCTTTATTACAAAGACTTATGAGAGAGGGAGAGGTGCTTTCTCTACTCTTTTCTCAACAAAATAATAAAGAATACGTGTATAAAAGGACGATATCGAAGAGTAATCATATTCAAAATAGGAAAATAGAGCGAACCCATCAAAAATAAAAGAAGAAACCGAAAAACGTCAAGACTTTTGAATTTAATTTATCAAGAAAACAAAGAAAAAAGTAAAAGTTTCTTGCAAGCAAAAACTTTTTTTTTCGTTTCAAATGAATCTTTTATTGTAAGAAAAAAATTTCTTTTTTTATATTTATGGTGTTTCCTTGTGCGTTTATTTGTGCAATATTTGAGTGACATAAAAAATGAAATTATAATGACAAGCAAAAGATGTTTTTGTATAATGGAAAAAACTCATGGAACTGTTATGTTGTTATGGTGTTAACACATTTCTATGACCATTTATTCATAAAGCAAATGTCGAGATAAATTCCATATAGCTGTTGAGTTTTTGGAGACATTTAGGGCACCGGCGGATCTCTCCTTTTCGCCTTTCATTTAAACCAGCTCGAAATCCACAAAAATTGACTAATATCCCTAATATTTGCATTCGCTAGCGTCAAAAATGAGCATAGGAGATAGGGTAAAGTTTCCTCTTTCAGAGTCACAGCAGCTTCTACAGAGATTGTTTACGGGGCGAATCATTCTTCTTGCCTGTTTGCCAATCGAACAATGACAAATCAGAAAACTCCGATACAGCTCCCTTATTACAGCTCCGATATCCTCTCGTCGGACAGATATCAGGTTCCTTGTAAAAACGAAATATTGAACAAAATTATTACAATATTTTCTGTTGTATACAATAAATTACAATATTTTCTGTTAGAAGAAGAAATTTTACTTATAAGGATGGGTTGTAAAAGCACTTCGCTTATATGAACAGAGTTATGCTAGAAAGTGAAGGTTGAACGGCAAAAACCACAAAGTAAATATTAAATTTTTATACAAGTATTGGAGTAAAAACTTTTCTTGAAAATAGTTTCAGGAGATGGAATAAGTAACTTCATAATAAAGGTTTCGGTCTTATCATGGTTTAACTCTCTCTCTGATT